AATGATGTTATTGACATTTATAATGCCAATGTCACAGAATTTCTAATTACAAGGTTTACTAAGCATCGTAAAGATCAGCTCGATGATGTTGACCGGACTGTGGATATTGGTAACACTCTAACAACCATAACCTGTTGAAGCAATTTTGAAACTAAGAAGGAATAATTGACAGTTTCGAAATTATCATTCATTTGTTGATTATTCTTAGACCATATTATTGTGAAACTAATCCTTGGTATTTATTATACATATGTATATATGGATTAGATAGATGGCAGGAATAGTTTTGCTAAGGTAGGAAACTATTCATATATATAGTCTTAAGGATTTCATCTGATTATTCTAATTAGATACTAGTATGCTGGTATGGTAGTTAAGCCGGTTGTACTTGTTGTGTTTCTAACGCTAACCATATTCCAACAGCTTAAACGGTCTTCTATTATTGACAATTTGTAGTTGAGTATTTTTCCACTTCTATCAACTATTTTACTTTAATGTAACGCTAGTAACTTGATGTTATGTTTTTTTCTCTGTATATGATTGCAACTGAAATATGACTTACACAATTTGATCCATCAAAAATATTCAGGTTCACCAAATATTAGGATAATGTAAAAGTTTTGATTGGAGGCAACTTGATAATTGATTTATATTTTAACTGGTTGATGAATTATTCTATAAGCTCTATCAGTAACTCAATACCTTCAGCATTTTATGTCATATTTCTGTAAAGATATGATTATAAAATAAATCAAACTGCTTCATGTTTGCAAATACATTTTATTTTATTAGCGATTTCATTAATTTTATATGATCATGTTGATGTTTGTTTTAATGAAAGACATTTACAAGAAGGATTTAAAAATAAAATTACTATTTTAACAATTATTGTTTTTCTATTATTCCGTTGTTCTCTCAGCTGTTCTTACTTATCAACCATATTGATATAATTAAGGTAATGAAATCAAAGGATAGATGGTTTCTATAATTGGGTGAAGCCAATTTGGTGGTTCAAGCTTTTTATTATATGACAAGCTTTTTATTATATGACAACCTTTTGACTAGTATACAATTATAGGTATATAGAATAAATATAAGATATTAGGCTCAAGTCTGCATCAGATTTTAACGATATAAATAGCTTTTTGTATAGTTCACAAAGTTTAAAATAAGCAGGAAATAGAGCATTACTTAGATAAAAAAAATAACTGTTACTACTCGGCCGCCCCAATAGATTATTATTTTATCCATTGGAAGTATATTATTTTATCCATTATTTTATACCTTATACCCATATACTAATATATCTATATAGAACACTGTGAATATTGGTCTTCTAGAAACATAAGATAGAGCGTCTCTGCAGCACATCAACTGGTCCCTTGTTCCTTTCTACTGTTTACCATAAAAGGCAACGAAAAGGTTATGGACGGAACCACGCATTAGCCCGAAATGATTTTTAAGTTCAGCAGAGTTATTTGAGCCCGATCTCACGATCTTGATGAACCTGAACACGCTGCTGTGGTTCCTTTCGGAAAACTTCACGTATCCCATGGGAACTGGACAAGGTACACTGCCGAGACAAAAGGAACGAAAATATTTTCGTTCCTTCTCCACAACAACATCCAATATTTGTCTATCTTATAAAATTGAAGGTATGAAATTGTATAAATACAGGAATGATTGCACTTATGAATACTGTTTCTCGAATTCCAAGCTCAAGAGCTATCAGATGCCAATTTCTCTTTAGAAATACAATCAAGTTTGTTTTAGTTGCACTATATAACTGATTTTTTGAATATGTTAGGAATAAATATATTCCTACTATTATCTGTGTTCTTCGATTTGAGTCTCTGTTTCAATATTGAAGCCAATTCATTAGGCCAAGATGAAGAAAACGGAGTAATTCCAGAATATCACGGCCAGTATAAAGGTATTAATATTGGTGGTTGGTTGGTTACTGAACCTTATATCACTCCATCGCTGTACAAGGATGTCTTGGCTCTTGCAAAGAGAAAGGAATCAAACGTAACTATTATTGACGAATATACTTTGTGCGCAGTATTAGGATACGATGATGCGAATGAATTGTTAGACAATCATTTCAAAACCTGGATTACCGAAGATAACTTCAAGATGATTAGTGAAGAAGGTTTCAATTATGTAAAGATCCCGATTGGGTACTGGGCGTGGAAAATTGACAATGAAACTAATTTGTACCCTGGTAACATAACGCATAATGACGCATACGTGAATTCAAACCAAAAAAAGTACTTAGACAAAGCTTTAGAGTGGGCATTGAAATATAATTTGAAGGTAGTAGTTGAGGTATATGCGGTGCTTAAGTCAGGAAACTACTTCAACAGTTATGATGACTTAGGAGATACATTTGATTTGGGAAATATCCAAGATGTTACTTCTGAAATTCTTAAGAACTATTTTGATTATATGCTAAAACTAGATTCCCCATCTTCTCTTTCTGGACTAGAGATATTATTTTCGCCTATGGTATATTTTTTTAATGAAGAATTAGAATTAACCGGATTCTATTCTAATATATTTGCGTCCTATCAGACTACAAAGGACAACCTGGAAAATCCAAACCCAAATGTAACCTTTATGATACAAAGAAAGGGCGGAGCTTCAGCTGTTTCTGAAACTAAGTTAGACCTAGCATTGCATGATAGAACTAGTCCTTACTATAAAGGTGAAAATTATACATCTGATTCAAATTTAGTCGAAGAAGATGTAGAATTTTTTGACTGTTTCGATACGTATAATTTCGACAATACAACTTCACCAGATTTCCCTGATTCTCTTCTGAGACAATATAGATGGCTAAGCCAACATCGTGATTTCAAAATTAACTTTGCTGGTAGATGGAGTGCGGCATTAAATGATTGTGCAACATGGGTAAACGGTATTGAATTGGGAGCGGCATTCGATAATACTTTATATTCTCGCTCTAACAGAACAGTTGTGAAAGGTAATCTAACCGAATATTGAACTGTTTATGAGACTTGTGTGTCTCAAAACCCAATAGACCAATGGCCTGAGGAGTACAAAATTCAAACTAGGAAATATATTGAAGCTGGATTGCTGGGGTTTTCTACTTATACTAAAGGCTGGCTCTTCTGGAACTGGAAGACAGAAAGTGCACCTGACTGGGATTACCAAAAGTTGAGGAAGCACGATTTATTCCCACATCCATTTGACATTTATACGTATTATGAAGACATTGATGATCCGAACTCGTTAGCATCAGCCACACTAGCTAAGCCACTCGAGCTAGCTCAGCCTTCATCTAATTTAATTAATTAGATAAAACACTAAGTTATATAAAGGGATAGGTTTCTATCTTAATGAAACTATTCCTGATCTTTATCTAATCTTTGTATAATACTATATAATATAATAAAGGATTAGCTTCCCAAAGATATAGTCTAACAATGGATCAATATATGAACAATAATAGCTTTGAAACTGCCAACAGCACTTTCTCAGTTTGGAATCTACGTCAACAAGTTTTATATTTAGTGCTATAAATATTATTTATTATCAGTTGGATAAAAATGAAACTCATATAAGAAAAAATATTACAAAATGTAAAATTGTATTTTGAACTAAAAATTGTAAAATTATTTATATTAATATATAAGAAAGAAAAGAGTTATAATAAAATAAGTTGAATTATAGAAGTTAATTTAATGGTAGACAACCATTAACAAGAATTAATGACTAGCTAAGAAAGAAGCAAGTTGACATATTGAAAGTATATTAAATAAACTAGTTCTGTGACAGAAAAATGGATATATGGATGGCAGTGATTGATATTAATTTGTGTTAGAGAGATCTTAAAGTCTTATGAGCTGGGAATATATATAATTTAGTGTGTTTTAAATTGTGTATGATAATAATATAAGGTAGTTTTAGATTCAGGTGTTGAAATAGATACATATGTATAATGATAGATCAGTTATTATAACTTGTAGTAGTACCAATATTAGAATGTGAGTAGGAAGATTGGGATAATTATTTGTGTTGATTCAGATTATTGGGATAATTGATTGTGTTCATTTAGATTATTGAAATAAAATAAGATAGTTAATTATTATTTGGGTGGGATATATGAGTTTAAGGCAAATGTGAATATTAGATGGTGACAGTGTCAATAAAGGCTGAGAGAGTTGAGATGGTGAAAAATTACAACCAGAAATGAATTCACAAGCATTGAATTATTTAGATTAGATATTAATTTCAACAATTGGAGTTAATATTACATTTTTAATTTTAACAAAATACCATAGTTAAGGCGAGATTTTTGTCTTTTCATCTGAAATATTTTACTATGGGAAACCTATATATTTCATAGTGCGAGAAGAATCCCATAGTTAAGGCAAGATTTTTATATTTTGGGCAGAATTGCATAATATGGGAAGAAATTCTATTTTGTTCTTAAGGCTGGATAGAGTAAAAGTGCGTAGCCCAATATTAGGTAGTATTTTTCTCGGTTTGGTATTATTTTTTAGGATGGATCTTGGTTGGGCGAAATGAGTGGGAGTTGGTTATGTTTTTCAGGAAACGTGACATGGAAACAGATTTTCGCGGGTCGGTGTTGATTGTTAGCAAAGGTATTGAGTGCGCGTTGGTGTATGTTAATTAGGACGGTTATAGAGGATAATGTTTAAGGTAGTGATAGTTAAAGTGATAGTTGTTAAAAAGGTTGTAGTTATGTTGAGATAATGAAATTTGACCACAAAGGTAAAGTTGACATGGAGATTAAGATTATTGAATAAAATATATTGTTAACAATAAAAGTTGGTCTAATTCATTAAACAGATGGTTAGACACAATAATCATTAGTGACAGTATGATAAAACATGAACCAGTTGAGATGGTGAAAATCTAAAACCAGATATGAAATCACAAGCATTAAATTACTAATATCAGATATTAGCTTCAACAATTGGAAGTAATTTAGGTGCTAATTGATGGGGCCTTAACTGCTGAGGTAAGGTCGTATAAAATGGATAAAATATTGGATAAATATATTATGGTACGCTACCATGTTTTGGATGGATTTTCTGCAGTGGTTCTAAAGATAAACGTTGTGGGGTTATTTCTAAATGAAATATTCA